AACTGAACCCCAAACCCCAAACCCAGAATCCTAAACCCCTAATCCAAGGCTTATTGTGCGCCTCCAGTTAAGACGTAATCTAATGGAACAACTGATTCAAATGGAGGTCTGCAGAATGATGAAGTATAGCATAGTGGTTTAGGGTTTACAGGTTCAGGGCTTAGGGTAGCACAGTGCCAGTCTATGTGATAAACCCAACCAAAGCCCTTAATCCCTACACCCGCCTCCAAGCTTAAACTCTGAACGCTACATCCTTAACACTGATCGCCTAAAGACGGTGAGAGAAGATCAAAATGCTAAGTACCTCACACCCAGGATGGAATATGATCGAATAATGATACCTATATAGTCCCCCTTAAGTAGATAGAATATGGCTTTGGGTATTTTATAATAAGATCACCACACACCCCATATTCTATCTAGTTAAGGGGGACTCCACCCATATACCCCTGCAAAAGGCCTAAAAGCTCCGACCCTAAACCCCAAAACCCAAAACCCTAAACCCGAAATCCTAAACCCTAAGCCCTATATAAGGAACCCCTCTGTTTGGACCCACCCGCCTGAACCCATGCCTCCTCCCCGCCCACTGTGGCATCGCTTTGAAGACGCCGTGAGTTTGGGGTTTGGAAAGGTCAGGGTTTAGGGTTTAGGGTCCAGGGTTTTCAGGGCTTCTCGTGGGTTTAGGTTCTAGAGTTTAGGGCTCTTGGGGATTCAGGGCTTAGGGTTCATGGCTGTTTAGGGTGTAGGGTTTAAGGTTACTTGGACGTTCAGAATGACTACAACCCAGTTATTGCTGCACTTTCTTGCCAGCTATGACCGCATTAGGGGTGACAAGCACTCTTATATAGGCAGGCTAAAATTTCCCGGATGCCCTAAGTCAGGTTCGGGTGAACTGTGTTAAAGTTTACCGGGATGGTGGGACTTGTAGGATTCGGGCTTTTCAAGAAGGTCTTGGGGTGCGGGTTTGGGTTTAGGACCGATGGCTCAAGGTCTAGGGTGAAATTTAGAAGTTTGTGAATTTCAGTTCCAGGCTAAGGCTCAATGTCGCAGAGCCGTGGTCCAAAATTCGAGCCAGTCATGGCTACGCAAAAGCTCTGTCGGCATGCATCTTCTGCAGGTGCTCGGCCCCTGTTCCAGCAGAAACCAGCCGTAGTGCGAGGAAGAAACATGCTGCTAGCACCATGCTTGCTTTCTAGGCCCTGACCGAAAACATCAATTCTGGGAAGGCCCCCCACCCCCCCCATGATAAAAATGTTTGGGATTCGGTTTTTAGGGTTTAGGGTGTCGAGGTTCCGGGTTTTGGGTCAGTACTACTAAAGTCAGCTATCAAAAGCAGCTTTTGCACGCGCAGTCGAGGATTCTCGTGCGCCTGCCGTCGTCTTGACGCAAGTTCGGGTAGGGCAGATGACGCATGGTCTTTCTTCATGGCTTCCGCAGATGCACACACTGCGTACACTCGCCGATGTTCCTCACACAGACTGCATGCACTCAACAAAGCTATTTGAGCTATAGTCTAAGGAGTGTAGACTACAGCTAGTTTTAGTAACTGTTGCTGTCAAAACCGGATCCCTTGGAAGCAGTGCATTATTTCCCGGCACACCGGGGAGTTGTGGGATTTACCAATGGGTCCTTGAGGCTCCCCTTTGAGGATTCTAGCCAGTGATTTTGAGGCATAGGTTATAGGGCGGTAAAGGGGGTTCTACAGGGTTCAACTTCACAAGCTAGGAATTCTACAGAAGAATGGACCTCATGTGAGGCCCTAGACAATTGGAATAGGGGTTTTGGGTACATTAGGCTGTAGTTCTGCGATAAGGGTTAGAAGAAATCATATCGGCAAGCATTCAGGCATCTACTGTAGAGGAAACCAAGGAGGCTACTAAGAAAGAAAGTAGAGGATTGACTTACATTGTTTGAGTTGAGAGTCATTGAGGGTGCTACTTAAACAGTCCGTTGTCGGGATAGCATCGTCGAGAATTTTAATTGACAGTCCCTTTTGGGTTTAATGTCATAACCACTGGAAATTATGTCTACCAATAACTGAGTGGAACAACTACAACCCACCATCGAGAACTAGAAGGAAATTCTTGCAAGCATGAGGCTTAATGGTTGGGGATGATATCGTGTGAGGATGAGGATTTGCAAAAGCCATTTGAGCCTTGCGTCAGGAATCTTGGCCCATAGTTGCTAAGGTGTTTGCAAGGCTTGGATCCCATCCCTGAACTCCAAACCCTGAGCCCTAAACTATAAAATCACTAAACCATATCCTATACAAGCCTAAACCCTATAGAACTCTAAACCTTAAACTATAAAACTCTAAACCTTAAACTATAAAACTCTAAACCTTAAACCCTCTGGCTTGTCACTGCAAGGCTTACAGGCTTAGGGCTCCCGACTGTTGATACTAGAAATCCTGCATGACCTTAGTATACTATAGTACCACATGGGAGCTTCCCAAAATTAGGGGGTACCATTTTGGGGGTCCCTATAATAAGGACTATAATATTTTGGGCTCTGTATTGGGGTTCCCCTATTTTGGGAAAGTACCACATTGTTCCCAAGGTTGAGGGTATTTAGGGTCATGTAGATTTTCAGTATCCACCGTAGGATCAAGGGCCGTAAGTTCTGAAGGTTAAGTGCTTCAGGTTGAGGTCGAGTCAAAAGTTCGTATGCCTGCATGAACCCTCAACCCTAAAAACCCTAATCCCTAAACCCTAATCCGGTACTACCCTTACAAAAGCTGCAATGAAAATGCTCCTTGTGATCTTAGTAAGTCTTTCTTGCAGAGCCCTAGTACCATGATACTCGTGTGTAAACATAGGAGAAAACCTCAATCAACGACCGGAAAGACCGAGAAGAAATCTGGTCAAAGGGACTCAGAGAAAAAAAGACACTGGCCAAAATCCTGAACCCTAGCCCCTGACCCTTGTTGCACAGACTTGCACACATCCTGTCTGCTCCGCGAAATCCTCGTCGGCCTGTGGATCCTGGCCATCGGCTCAGTCCAGGGTTTAGGGTTGGCCTTTGGAACCTGGAAAACGTGAAAAGGGCACAAGATGTAGCGTGTTTGGTTCAGGAGTTGAGCTGTTCAAGCCCTTATATACGCTAAACCATGCTGTATAATCATAATCCTTGTTACGGGACACCAAAAAGGGGACCCCTAAATTCCGCAAACCCAGAATGAAGGATTCAAAGCTCTAGGATTTCTTATGCTCTTTCTTTGGTATGGGCGACTTGTTCAGTTGGTTCTTAGCACCAGGTACAGAAATGCTGCCATTGCAGCAGCCGCTGCAAACTTGCGGGATTGTACTTCTTAGTGCACATCCATACATCCACGACTGACATCCCTAGCTAGTACCCTTAAACGTTGCGCCCGTGAAACCTATGAAGGACAAAAAATCTATCTGAAGACTCCAAGCTCGCCGCTTGAGATCCCAAGCAACTTGCGAACGGCGTTTGGGTTACAGGCATGGCTCCCTTGATATCCTGTCCTCCCCCTGTAGCTGGCCTTTGGTTAGCTGGGAATGGAAAAGAAAATGGAAACTTCGTTAATAGGTTTTATAGGGACTACTGTAACGAGCCATTCCTTCGTTCCTAGCTAACCAAAGGTAAGGTAATCCCTGGAATTGAAGCCAGAGAATGCTGCACATAAGCATGATGGAAACGATGCAGCCAGATAACCCGACTCAAGTGCCACTTGCTAAATCCTCTGCAAACTCCAGCTTCAGTCCATCCTAGCAACAAGCCCCCCAAAAAGCGAATGGAGTCACAGAACAGCTCTGAGATTGTCCTTGCATATATTCCGTCCATAATGCGATTTTGGCCCCTGCTGGGAACCTAGGCATCATTCCTCTGAGATGACACTTTGAAAAGCCGACCCCATTAAATCACATACTACTGTAGAAGAAGCGTACATACAAAACCCTGCCAAAACGCTAAACCCCAAACCTACACACTCGACACTTTGGTAGATCCTTCAAAGCCAAAACCACCCTTTCTCAGAGACTCCTCCTCCTCATCATTCTGCTCTTCAGGGCCAACAGCAGGAAGTTCTTCTGCCTGCCGGCGACTTAGGTGTTCGGGCTTAACTTCTCACCGACTTCAAGCTATACGCTTCTAAAGTCTAAATCCTAAACCCTAAACCACATGGAGGGTACAAATATACGCAAGCTTAATAGACCCGCTCTTGGAGACTGGACGGGGGCCGCGGTTAAGCTTTGGGGGGTAGAGCCCGTGGAATTTGATGTAAATAACTACCAAAATTATGGCTCTGGATTCCTTGTAGAAATTTAGGACAGGTAGCTCAAAACGATCTTAGAATGATATTGGTAATGATCTGAGCCCCTACGTTGCATCTAAGATGTGCAGTCTCAAAGGGATGCCGTTCAGAGTTTGCTTAGGGAAGTTGTGGAGTCTGAGGCATCCCGCTTCAGGCATGGCGTGATGTACCTGCACCGTCAAGAAGACTTCAAGAATACTAGACAGCACAACAGGATAGAACATGGCTTTGGGTATATTATAGAAAGATCCCCATATACCCATATTCTATCTACTTAAGGGGACTATACCCTAAGCCCTAAAAACTCTAAACCCTAAACCCTTAATAGTAGTTTCCATGCTCTTTTCCATTATCCCTCTATAACCCTAATACTGAAACCCTCTACTTAAGGGGGACCCTAGGGGTTTAGGGGTTTAGGGGTTTAGGGTTCAGGGGTTTAGGGACGACCAGTTTAGGAACTTCAAGTATCAGGGCTCAACATTCAGGGCTTCGGATGTGAGGCCACCCAAAAAACTTGAAGCCACACATCCAAGAACAATAGACTCCCTAGACACAGGTTCTACCCTTAATCCCATTACTGCCCATTACCATATGTAACCCTTGTATAGTCATCATATAACCCCTATGACCCTTAGGGAAAGCCTATTGAAGGGATCCCAGAACCTGGCCCAAGATATGCACCACAGGGACCAAGCCAGCGAGAAAGCTGCGCAGCAAAGAGGCTTCAGCCTTTTAGGGTTTAGGGTTTAGGGTTGATTTTGCTTGGAGGTTCAAGGGAATAAGGTTTGGGTTTTAGGGCTCAGGGTTCAGAATTAGGGTTTATGTTCATAACTTGAAGTTTTTGTTCAGGGTAATGATAAATCACGTGTTGAATAGAATAGCGAAGAATCTAATGATACAGAAAACGGAAATATAAGATGCAAACTGCGGTTCTATAGAGAAAGGACAGGTCATTATGACCTACTGGTAGCTGTACTTTCAATCCAATTCTAAGCTCCTGCGTCCCCTAATGTGGGTATAACTGCTTCGGTTACATGTACAGTTCTCATTGCATTCTACCTGCCCAAGAAACCCTTTGCGGGCAACTGCTCATGTTGATGGGTGGCCAAAATGGGAACTTCTATGTCACTACTGAACACTAACCCCTAAACCCTAGATCCTGAACTGTAAACCCTAAATCGCGTTAGATCCCGTAAGCCCGAATCTCTACATCCGAGCCCCCGCAAGGCCTCGGCGATATCTGCCCCTTTTTAATCTCAGAATGCTATACTTTAGGCAGACCCTCCACCCAGTAATAGTGGTATAGTATGAATATAAGAGCGCACTGATATAATGACCATTATCCCTTACAGTCGCTATACTGCGCGGTTTCAGGTTAAGGGTTTAAGGCTTAAATTTTGAAGGCATTGAGATATTCCTTACTATGTGAACTCACAATAAAGCCGTCAAGTTTTTTAACCTCAAACCCTGATCGCTAAATCTGAAAATCCTCTAACATATGTATCGTGCTCTCAACCCCTAACAATCCCTTTCATGGGATTGTTTAGGGATGATATGCGGATATACCTTTTAGGCCTGTATACCTTAAACCCTAAACCCTAAACCCTAAAACCCTAAAAACCTACAACCCTAAAAACCCAAAAAACCCTTAACAACCTAAACCTTAAAACCCTAAACCCCAAAACCCTTAAACCGCATTAAAAGGAACGTTAAAAGGGACCCTTCTAAGATAGCAGCCCAGATCGTAGGCTGTTGGCAGCACCTGCCATAAACCCGGTTTAAGGTTTAGGGTTCTGGGGTTTAGGGTTTAGGGTTCTGGGGTTTGGGGTTTTCGGTTCTAGGGTTTAGGGTTCCAGGGTTTAGGGGTTTAGGGTTCTGGAGGGTTCCAGGGTTTAGGGTTCTAGGGTCTAGGGTTTTAGGGTTCTAGGGTTTAGGGTTCTAGGGTTTAGGGGTTTAGGGTTCTGGGATTTAGGGTTCTAGGGTTTAGGGTTTAGGGTGCTGGGGTTTAGGGTTTAGGGGTTTAGGGTTTAGGGTTCTAGGGTTTAGGATTCTGGGGTTTAGGGTTTAGGGTTCTAGGGTTTAGGGTTCTATGGGTCATATAGGGGCTATACAAGGGTTATATCGGAAAAGAAAACGGAAACTGCTACTTAAGGTTTCCTTTGGATTTTGGGTTTTCGGTTTTGGATTTAGCATGTAGGGTTTAGGGTTTAGGATTTCGGGTACAGCGTTTGGGATTTAAGCCCTTATTTGCAAGCCTAAAAAACAGAGAGAGCAAACGCAAGGATTAGGGCTTTCACTGAAGTCTGGGAACTGGCAGGGTTGGAGTTCATGAGATTTAGTGGCCCAAAACCACGTAGGCCCCTCAGTTTTAGTCTGTGGCTTTGTGACGAAGGCCTTAAATTCCAAAAGCGATTTCCGGCTTAGGGTTTGGGGTTTAGGGCTTCATGTGATAGGCAAGGGGGACTTAGTAGATTAGGCAAAAAAAGTCGAAAAATCGAGTCAGCGATGCTTCATCATCTCCCTTTATATACACATATGTATAAGGATATACTGTTTAAGGCTCAGGTTTATTAAGTGCCCCACCCCCCTAAACATTGAATGTCCGCATTGCGATATATCATAATATACATGGGATATTCAACGTTGGAGGAGTTGGGGGTTGAATGCTATGTGGCGGGGAGTAAACGTGCATACTTGGAGGATTCGGGGACATCGATAATTTTTCACAACCCCCACAGGCCATGTCATCTCCAGAATGACTAATGGCGTCTCTAATGCGAAGCCTAGGTGCTTGGAGGTTCAGAAGGCTTATCGCTGGTAATGAGAAGATTTGGCAACATCAACCCAACAAATTGAGATGCTATCATAGTCATATGAGCGTCATAGACAGGTTCTCCCTACATCCTGAACCCTAAACCTCCTAATTTGGGGATGATGGGTTTGCCAAAAGGTTCTTATTTACGACACCAGCAACAACAAAGTGAAATGCCCTATTAGGGGCAGACACGGAAGGCACAACACCCTTTCATTAGGGAATGTAATTCAAGAGGTACATGTTTCATGGGTTACCCTACTGCGCCCCTAGGCTACCCCATGTTCCCCCTGAACTGGCCGCAAGTAGCCCCCAAAAACACAAATGGGGCGGGCTAGTACATGGGGGAGTGGGAGAACCCCCTAAACCCGAAACCCTGAACCGGAGTTAATGGGTATTGGGCCCCCTGGGCAGGTAGGGCTTGCGCCAAATCACCACAGAACCCATCAGGTTGACGTTGCAAAGAAAATTTGCCCTCGACTTAGTAGAGTGTAGGGTTTAGAATTTAAAGCTTGGGGTTTAGGATTTAAGGTTTGGGGTTTGGGGTTGGGGGTGGTAACAATCCTCTCTTTATTGGGGGTTCAGGATCTAGGGCTTTTGGTTTAGGGTTGCTGTCCCAAATGCACGTAAGACCAAGGGGATCCCTCGAAACCCCATAATCTCACTTAAGTAGATAGAATATGGCTTTGGGTATAAGATCCCCATATACCCCATATTCTATCTACTTAAGGGGGACTATAAGCCCCAACAAGCTTCACAAGCTAACCTTGCTTTTGTCCTGGCCATGCCTTACAGGGTTAGTCAGGGCGTTCAGTGTAGACATCTGAAGACACCACCAATGGTGGAAGACTATGTACACTCAAGTGGACATGACATCGGAATTGGGATTGTACAGGGTAACAAAAGGAGTTTCGTCGGCACAGCAAGAAGCTTGCGAAGCACTGGAAATCTGCCAAAAATGTTGTAATATGGTATTCTTTATAAGGGATATGACGATTGTAACGTTGGAGGAACTGGAGAACCAAAACAGTGTCCCCGTACATGTGTCTTACATAGAAACGGTATATATTGTGCTCACTTTGTGGGGAGTTGCGACAAGGATCCTGGTCCGCTTGGCGCGCGGGAACCCTACATCAAGACCTTGCCGTAAATCCCAACACCGCAAACCCTAAGACTACAGTTCCAACTGCTCAGACTCTCTGCGAGGGGCTATGCCAAATTCCCGTACCTTTGCAGACCTGAACTGCCGGAGACTGCTACTGCCTCGAATGAAGAAAACACCCTAAGCTCCCTCGTGCTCAGAATTACATCCCTGTTACCGAAACAAAATTAACTTAAGAAAAAAAACCTACAACAGCCATGGGCCATAGGTACTAAACCCTCAAGCCTATATCCTAAATCCTAGACCCCGCACCAAACTCTAAACCCTAAATCCTACACCCTTAACCCTAAACCCCCAGACACTACCGGCACTACTGCTCCGGCCTCCTCTACGAGCGTCTGCGCTTCAGCAAGGCCTGCGTGTGTCACACGCATGGGAGTGTTTCCCAAAGGTTTCTTGGGTTTAGGGTTTAGGGTTTAGGGTTTAGGATTTAGGGTTTAGGGTGTACCTCTAGAAGCGTCTAAAGGGCTTACATGAAAACCTTATGAAAACTTACAAAACCCCAAAACCAAATCCCTAATCATCAAACCCTTAGCCCTAAACTCTAAACCCTGGATCCTAGACGGTGTGAAAAGGTCTGAGAACCCCTAAACTCCTAAAGCCATTGACCAGAAACCACACGATCTAATTTCTGGTGTATGCTTTAGAACCGTCTCCATCCCAGAAAACCTTGGCACCCTAATCCCCTTATGTAATAAGACATCGGGATCTATAGTTGTTACTTGGGGGATATACAAGGTCTAGGAGAGGGGATTTCGGGAACGCCAACGCCTATGATGAGGACCCTATACTCATGTCATAGTCATAGGGTCTTCATTTGAGGGTTGGGGAAACCAAAAGCCCTCGTATGCAGACCCTGAACCACCACATCCCAAACGGTTCTGAACTCTTTACATATAGGCAGGCCCACGAAGTGCCCATTAAAACGACGATGGCCGGGACATCCTATAACACTCATATTGGTTTGAATATGCTTACTGAGCCCCCTGAACCTCCAAATGAGGGTCCCGCCCAAGGACTACGCCAGGATTCTCAGAGAGAACTATTGGTGTTCGGGAATCTGTACTTGGAGGCTCACGGTAACCGAATAGATCTGCCTAGAGCCCCTATGAACCATGCAATTGCCCCAGTTATCCCCAGTACTAACCCACTTGCCGAGGCCCACTGACCCTCCAAATACGGATTGTTTTGAGAAACTCCCATATGGTAGTTTCCCAAAATAAGGGGACTCCAATATAGACCCCAAAATACTATAGTCCTTATTTTAGGGATCCCCAAAAGGGTACCCCTAATTTTGAGAAACTCCCATACAGCCTCTCTAAACCCTAAACCCGAAACCTTAAACCCCTAAACCCCTGAACCTTTACAGCCTCCCTCCACGTAGCAAAGCTTGAAGCTTCTCCTGGCAGTCATACATCTCTTCAGGAATAGGGGTTTCCCAAAATTAGGGGTACCTCTACCTTTAAAGGGGGATATAGGGGCTATATGGGGGTTATATAGGGTTTTGGGTTTAGGGTTTCCCAAAATTAGGGGTACCATTTCGGGGGTCCTTACAATAAGGATTATAGTATTCTGGGGTCTATATTGGGATCCCTTTATTTTGGGAAACTACCGAATCTGTGCTGTCATACCGAAGCAATATGGGGTATGTAGCGGCTGCATGAAGCCATACGGCAACAGATGATGTGTCCTAACCAGGAAAATCAACTTCCAAGGCAGCAGCTCTGTATGAAGAGATTCTCACGGAGTCCTCACATAGAGGATGACCGTATTGACCGAACGTCTGCAACCCCCTCGTGTGTCGAAGACGACTGACATGAAGAAGTCTGCGAATAGTCCATGAAAATAAATACCGAAGCTCAGCTCATGCCCATGGCACCACAGCTTAAAACAGTGAGAGTAGCATTCAAGGCCACATACCTGTACGAGTCATGACATGTGTAACAACAGCAATGACGGAAGCAAAGGAGCAGCATCAGTTCAAGTAGCCGAAAACAAATCTGGCAGCAGCTAAGGTTTCACAGTCTCTGCATTTACAATGGCCCCATAAACCCTTAGTGAAGCGCACGAACCTGGCCCGATCACTGGGAACCCCATGGTCAGCCCATAATCTCAGAATCCCTGAACCCTCTAGAATCCCTAAAGTCAGCGCAACCCTACGAGCTCACAACTCGCAAGAATGTAATGAACCCCCTAAGCGTACATCTCTGAACCTCTGTGACAACCCTTGACTCTTGCCCCTCGCAAAATACTGCAGTACAAAAAAAGAAGAAGCATAAACCTCTCAAAGCAACAACCACCTGTATGCTTCACGAAAGGAAAAATACTCGACTACAAAAGATGGTAACACCAAAGGTATGCACTAACCCTTAGACCTCACCCGAGTGATGGGGCCACTCTCCTCAGATCGGAGAAAGTCGTCTCGATCCTCCGCAAGCGTGCGATGGCCCAAGCCTGGCAAGAAAGCTGGGTGCAAGACTCTAGGGTTAGAGGTCTGGGGCCTATGATGTCCGGCGGAGGGCTTACGGTTTCAGGTGGGGGGGGCTTGGCGCGGAGCATGTTGAACATAAGGATTCGGGTTGGGTCGACTTCATTCTCCCCTGCGTTTTCCAATGCCCCCTTCCCTATCATATTGAGTGTTCCCATGTGCTTGATGCATAGGCAGGAGGAGTTCAAGGAGTTCGCACCCTTGCTGGCATTCCCTGAGTTTTACTAGTTCTTCGTAGAGAACCACGGGACATGACCCCTAACAATCCCTAGGCCCTAGGAATTTATTCCCTTATTCCCTACTAAGAACCAGTAAGTATTCAATATTCCTTCAAAGCAAGTCAAGCCATATTGCCACATGACCATGAAGGTGAGATGGCTGCAATTCTCCACAAAAGATTTGCGGATGTTCTAGGAAGAATATTGGGCCCCCCTTTCATATGAGCAGTAGTCTAAACTCCTCGTATGCCCCTGAATGACCCGTATACTGGGAATCCTATTAAATCCCCTAAATGAGCCCTTTTAAGGAGTTTAGACGACAGATTGCATGGAAGTCGTTCTTGAGAAATGCCCATGCAATACCATAAGTATCTCCCGCCAAATCGAACAAAACGATCTAAAATCCTCAACACAAGTTTTTGCTGCTTGTACCGCAAGAGATGACAACACGACGGTGACTCCTCAAAAACACATATCCTCAAAAACACATATTCTCGAACTCTCCTAAGAACTCCGCAAAAGCACGCTATCCATGGGGTGTTTGCAAGGGTTTGTGCAACATCATGGAAGGCTATAAAGACAAACCCTCAACCGCAAAACTTGAAACCCCTAAACCCGTAAACACCTAAACGGACCCAAACCCTTGAAACCCTCAAACCCCTCTTTTGGAAACCCCCAACTCAACATGCAGCCGTGGGCACCGGTAGCGACGACTGGAGATCAATCTGGATGGCGCATGTGAAGTTTCAGGGTAACTATGACCCACCTATGGGATAGAATAATGGAGAATCACATGAAAACAAAACTGAAAACAAAATGCATACTGGAAAGTTCTATAATTCAAGATTTCTGGGTTCGAGACTTTAGGGTTCTGGGAGCTACTCAATCATGCTTATTCAAGAATGGGGTAATCTGCTTGAGTTAAAAAGGGGGTGGCTTATGGAGTACAAGAGGAATCCGCTCCCTGTTCCCAACTTAGCATCAGTAGGTGTGGTCATTTGATGATTCAGCTCCTGAGATTAGATTCGTTTTTGGATTTCGTGAGGAAAGAAACAGCCTTATCGTACGAACCCTGATGGAATCATTTGAAGTACCTCTTGTTTTATACCCCTATATGCCCTCTGAAGGTTCCAGATAAGAGTTCCGACAGGCCTGGAGAAAGTTCTACCGCTCCAAAGTGGCGTCTAAGTAAGGGGGTGGAAAAGTTTTACTGGCCGAAAGGTCGCCTGGAAAAGATCTACGGCTCCAACGGTCGCATCTGAGAGGCCTCGGATAGGGTTTTGGGTTTAGGGCTTTTCTATCGCGCCAAAGGTCGCATTTATGAAACCTGGAAAATTTCTACCGCTCCAGAAGTCGCGTCTAAGAAGCCTAGAACAATGGCCCCATGTTGTGCTTAGAGTTGGGGGTTGAAAGGAACCCTACATCACCTCAACCATTGCCTCAAACTTCTCCAGACCCCACCTTTGACCTTGGGATACTCTCCTTGTACCTGTCACCGTGGTCCGTGGTGACATAGATACCGCCTCCCACATCCCCGTAATCCACATGATCCTACCAAACCCTCAGCCCCAAACCCTGAACTTTCGTGAATACTAGACCAACCCTACACCCTAAACTTAATGATGGCCAGCAAGAAACAAGGAAATATAATATATGGGGGTTTCCCAAAATAAGGGGTACCTTTTTGGGGGTCCCTAAAAAATAAGGATCACAGTACTTTGGGGTCTAGATTGGGTCTCCCTATTTTGGGAAACTACCATATAAGGGTTTTACTACCGCCGTCAGTAAGCCTATTTCAACTCGGATGCTGTACTCGCCCTTCTTCGTGTCCCTCCAAGGCCTCCTCCAGCAAGTGTGCCAGCTCCAGAGCCTCTTAGGTCAGCTTTGGATCTTTTGGATTTATCATGGGGTTTAGGGCAATGGTCTAGGGCTGCTGTTGAGGAACTTAAATTAAGTTACTATGACAAGGAAACCCTATTACTTACTATATACCTATGCTATTCATGTACTGACCTACTACTCCCCTTTTCTGTCCCGCCCTCTAGGTTCCCCGTAATTGACCTGAATTAGGCCTAGCTATCCCTAAAAACCTTAATTGAGGGGAACCCTGGTTTAGGATCATAGGGAAGCTTGCAACATTCCCTACAATTGCTTCCATATCTTGGGCATAGTTCCCCTTAATTAGATCAAATATGGCTTTGGGTATATCATAACAAGATCCCCAGATACCGCATACCCTATCTACCCAAGGGGACCATATATATAATTAAGTGAAAATACCTAGTATATATTTGTCGGCATGTGAGTAGGGAGGGCATTTCTTGCATCTGGGGATCTCCCAAGATTAGCGCTTAAGGTTCGTAAGTCTAGGCTTTAGGGCTTAAAGTTTATGTTTTGAGCTTGCCGGTTTGACTTCGAACCATACTGAATATCTCAGCCCTAGAGCCCGCCCATAAACATGAGGACCAACAACCCTTCGTACGTCGAACCAAGGTAGATTTGGGGGATTCCCAAAATTAGTGGTACCTTATTGGGGGTCCCTATAATAAGGACTATACAACGTTGGGGTGTACATTGGGGGAAACTGCCATGTAGGGGCCTTAAGAGTCCGAATCCGATGGGGTACGTAAGCTTATTTAGGGATCGTGATCCATCAGAACTAATAACTATTCCCAGGAATAACCCAGCTCTAAGATCAGCCAAATCGTCCTGTATCTGAGGTTAGGCCCCCGCCCGAAGATAGTGACCACAAGGGACAATGGTAATTTTGTTAAATCTCTTGTAATATTCCTGCTATACCAGTATTAAAACTGGGTGGGCACTTAACCCATCCTATACCCAAAGTTTTCAAGGTCAACTCCTGCCTGAGGGGTCAAGGGATTACAGTAACTTCCTCAAGAAGCAGACCTACGAGCACTTAACACGTCACCCTGACCCTCCAACCCTCCACCCTATCCCCGAAACTTTAAACCCAAACAGCTAAAACCTGACATCCCCCCGACACTAAAGGCCTTATTGTGGGCACCCCCAGAAAAGTGCCTTGATTTTGGGACACCCCAACCCTAAACCCTAAACCTTAAACCCTAAACCCTAAACCTTAAACCCTAAACCCTAAACCCTACACCCTCACAGACTCAAAGGAAAACATGTGGAGGCCTGGTCCAAGATGCCCACTACGGCTGTCAGGGCGTCCTCTTCGCACGCTGCCCTAAACCCTAAACTCTACATTTGGGTTTCAGAGGCGGGCCTGGGGATTTAGGATCCAGGAATTAGGGAGCAGTGATGAGGTTGTGAAGCTTAGGGATGGGTGTTTTGAGAACTGAAGAATCATGGCTCAAGGTTAAAGCACTAGAGTTTAGGTGCTTGGAGGAGCAGGGGGACTCAGTAAGCATACTTATAACCCTCATAAACCACATAATAACCCCAGTTATCCAGCTTATGAACCTACTTCCTCAGTCCCCTGGAGCTCAAAGTCTGGTTCAGAAGTTACAGTTATGGGCCGAGTTATGGTTGCAGTCCCACTTAAGTAGATAGAATATGGCTTTGGGTACAATTGTAGTAAGATCCTCATACACCCCATATTCTATCTACTTAAAGGGGACTTTAGGCTGGGCTCTTCCAAAATAACCTCCTGCAGCCGGACTCCTCGGCCTGGGGCTCCGGGTTCAGGGTTTGATGGTATGACTACCAAAACACTGGTGAAGTCCATTTCCTGTATCCTATCGTATTGTCATTTGCGGAATCTAGGACACTGATATTGGCATTTATTTAGGCCCCTATATTGCACCCCTGAACCCCAAACCAGAAGCCTAGAACCTTCGAGAAAAAGATGCTAAAAAAAATGAAAGAAAGGTAATTAATCACAAAGTTGGGGCTCTCGAAATATGTTTTTGAAACGATTTGGTGCTTAGGTATCAGGGCAGGACGCCTGATATCCCGCTTGGGGGGCTTCCTATACAGGGATTAAGGGGTTTAGGGTGGCATAACACACATCTTATTGCCAAACTGTAGCGCGGTTTAAGCATTCAGGGTCGAAGTAATGACTTACCAGTATCTATCCCCTGTCCATGCTCCACGAACTCTCCCAATGCGAATGCTGTTTGTTCATGGGAGTTGTCAGGAACTGAGTTTTAAGACCATGCTCAGGACATCCCTAGGACACCTGAAACCCTAAACCCTGAAAGCCTGGGCAACCCTTTTTTTAATCGACTCTAAACCCTCAACCCTGAACCCAGAACTTTCAACCCTAGACCCTCAACCCGAAACCCGAAACTTTCGACCCGAAACCCTAGACCCTACACTTCCAACCCAAAACCCTCAACCCTAAACTGTTGGGACCCGGAAGTTTGGGCGCGCCTGGGAGCCCGCCTCTAGAAAGCTTCGAGCCTGTGGAAAGCAAGACTAAACCCTAAGCCCCAAATAGTTGCTTCGTTTTCTTGTCCGTTATCCCAATATCACCCCAATATACTAGTACCCTAAACCCTAAGCAAGATCTCCCTGCGGGTATATATTCGTTTTTGTTTTTTTTTCCGGACCTTATTTGGTTTTGGGTTTAGGGTTTAATGTAAGATTTAGGGTTTTGGGTTTAGGCTTGAGGGTTTAGGGTTCAGAGATTGAAGTTTTGGGACTTATGGCCGTTATTGGGGGCTGCAGGGAGTCCTGTACAGGTTGTATAGGGGTGATATCGGGACATGTAGGGATCAGAGTCCAGTGCGCTCAAAACATTAAGGGTCCGTTCTGGGGACCTGTATAACAAGAATTATGATGTGTGTGGGCCTGTAATTGAGCTGCCTTTGTAGGAAAACCTCTGCATCTCAGGTGCTTGGGAGGTTGGTCAGGTTTGGGTTTACAGCAGAGTTTCGGGTGGCGATCGTTTGAACTTAGGCTGAAGATGTTGGTCAGGTTTGGGTTTACAGCAGAGTTTCGGGTGGCGATCCTTTGAACTTAGGCTGAAGATCAGGGTTTTGGACTCTGTGATTTTGGGATCGGTGTTTTTAGGGTCTGAAGCTTTTGGGCGTAGGGGCTCCCAGCCAAACTCAATTTCTTTCCTTCTGCTGGCTGTCCAAGCCGTCCCAAGCACTTTCTAACTCGAATAGAAAGCTCATTGCAGGGTTTGACTCGTAGAGCCTGTTGGGCTTCATATGCGAGATGCGCGTTCGATCTCCACCTTGCGTTACAACCAATTCCAAACGGCTTCTGCTTGCTGGTGTTCGAGAGGGAGTAGAGGAGTGGCTCCATGCTTACTCTCCGAAAACCATCGCAAGCACTCCACCTAAGGCACAAGAAAATGAACGCCAGACTAAACCTTGTATATCCCTATATACCCCTGTATACCCCTATATGAGCTAAACTCCACATCTCGCATATAAAGAACGAACATGAGTCCTTGCCAGGCAAATGCTAGGGGCTCTACTAAACTATCAAACGGACACTGATGTCCACCCTCGATGGTCCATCAATGACCCTTCCGCTGACAGCAGCTCATGCTTGTTTCTTGGCCCCTTTTGCGTGACATGACTGTTGCAACCCAATACGCCCGCGATCAGATCCAGGCTTGCAACCGCCCTCCCCCAATGGTATGGTGCTGGCATAAAGTCCTCGCGTGACAATATTCTGGTAATTGACTGTCACCCGGATCATAGAGACCTGCTGTTGCTGAGGTCATTGATTTCTCCGCCCTTGTGCAGTGGTGGGTTTGCTTTCCCCTTTAATGACAGTTCATTCAGATATTTCCCCCTCCCCCACCCCCTGTGATGTGGTGGGCGCTCTTTCTCGTGAAGCTGTCAGCATTCATGTTTGCTGAAAACATCTGAACTTTCTCCCTCCCCCTGCCGCGTGGGTGCTCGTCTTACTTCAACACCTGAGACATTTTTTGTGTTGTTGAAATTTGCCCTTCCTCCCGATGGTGTGGGTGGTTTTCCTCCTCCCACAATTCTTAGCACAATCGCAATTGACTGTAAGCCTGCAGCAACGAGCTGTCCTCTTGGTGGAAGCAACACTGATATGGAATAGGCTGTAGGAATTCAATATTGGGTTTTTCTTCAGCTGGGCCAGATCTTTGCCCCGCCACCCTGTGCTATAGGTGGTTTGCCCTGTCCGCTGTGGCCTGGATGAGATCTGCAAGGTCAAAAACAATGACGATTGCATCGAGCGTGACCAGGACACCCACCATCCTTGTGACTGTTGGCACTGCTGAGATCCGCAACATCAGATGACAAGGACACTCACCATCCTTGCGACTGTTGGTTTTTCCTATCTGCAACATCAAAAACGGTGATAGTTAGAAGGATCGTCACCAGGACACCTACCATGCTTCTGAATGTCGGCACTTTTGGGACTTGCGACATCCAAAACGACGTTACGAGAATGGCGCCTCCAAGGCTTCAAAAGCATGGACAGTCACTAGGATCATGAGCTAGACACCCACTATCCTCGAGACTGCTAGGTCAGAAGACCATACCTCCGGGAAGGGTAGGGGCGGACCGGGAACAAAAATGAGCTATAGTCTAACCTCCTTGTATCCGCCTTAATAAGCCCTATAATACTCACCTATATAATCCCCTATATAAACCCCCCCTTTAAGGACTTGAGACTATGGCTCATATAGGGTTTCAGGTAATGTTATCCACTATTGGAAGATCCGCTGGATCAGAAAATCCAACAAGAAATGGAAACGGGTGATAAGGGATTGTGGGGGCCTAAATCACCAATATCATTTGAGGTTTTTCTGAGGTGCCCTGCGCCATCATTTGACAAGGCATCTAAAACCCTTAGGTTAGGCTCGATTCAGTACTACTTGTAGAGATGGAAAACAAAGGGACCCTACCATAGTTACCATTCTCCCATATCCCTAAATCCCAAAGCACATTCCATAAACCCTAGGCCCCTTAAACTAAGCCCACATGACCCTAGGAAGAAAAAAGGATCCTCTTTACATAAATATAAGGAATCCCATACTCCGCAAAGAAAAAGATATCCCCTGAAAGCCGAATGCCGGGCGCCAGGCCACGCAGCGCCGAAGGCAGCTGTTGTGGGCATCAAGGAGCTCCTACCAAGGGGGGTTAGAGGTTCAGGGTTTTGTGTTGAAGGTTTTGGATTTAGGGTTTGGGGTTTGAAGTGATCTTACGACGATTCTGTCGGGGCAGTGGGTCCTTCATTTGGTACCCTAAAATAACGCTTGGAGCCATACTATAGCGGGACCCGAAGGGGACCATGATTTTAACAATCTACCTCGTGTAATCCCTTGCAATAAGCAACTACCTTTGGCAAACATTGTTCCAAAGGCCCCACCCCCCTTCAGCCCCCCTTTAAGCCCCCCCTAAACCCTAAACCCTTTAAGCCCCCCCTCCCCGTACCCCCCATGGAGGGTTTTCTGACTCCTCCAGAGACGACGCCTCGAAGACCTGGCTGTTTCAGGAGTTCAGGGAGTGGCCTTTGCGTTTTCGGGTTTAGAGTTTAGGGGGGTTTAGGGGGTTTAGGGGGGTTTAGGGGGTTTAGGGGGTTTAGGGTTTAGGGGGTTTAGGGGGTTAAGGGTCTAGGGTTTAGAGCGCCCTTTTGAGGACCCTCAGGATATATGGGTATGACATATGGATTATGGACCTTGTGGGGTCCGTACAAGAGACTCCACACAGGGAGATTTGAGAATGTCCATGCTGTTTAGTGGATCTCATGTTTCTTTTCTTTAAGTCTGAGGTGAGTTAGGACTTAGTTAGGACTTCGGGGTTAAGACGCCGCTTCGAAAACCTGAATTTCTCAGAGCTCCGATGTGCTGGAAGGTAGGGTTTAAGGATCGAAGTGTCTTCGGGCTTGGCTGTTGAGGTTACGGATCTAGACCTTGCCAGAAAGGCTGCTAGCCCTGCCTCCGTGGAGGATCCCTGTCTGCAGGGTTTAAGCTTAGGGTTTAGGGAGGCCTCCAACATAGAGAATCCCGATTGAGGACACCACTCTGAAAGTACTGGGGATTCCAGTCAAATTCGGCTTTGGGTTCAGGACCGAGCACGCTCCCCCCACTTTGGAGTACCTGTTTACTGCTCCATGTAAAATAATATTGTATGGAGACTGCATATGTGCTTGATTCTCACTCTGTAAAACCTGACCAGCGCAACCCCAACGCACGCATCTTTGTCGTTCAAGGATTTGGGCGTACTATTTAGTGTGAACACTTTTGCGCTTGCAGTGGCGCGCTGTCCAATTTCTATGGGTCTGTGCTCTTAGTGTGTCGGGCTCACATGTATAAGTGCAATCACTCCAGACCTTGTCTCCAGAGAGAAAGCTTAAACCTGCTAGCCAGCCAGTCACCCCTGATCCACTATCATCATAGGACTACAAGTGGGCCCCGAACATGCACCTCTTTGGACCCTAAACCCCTAAACCCTGATAAAAACAAGGCCTAACAGGCAAAAAGGATCTTGGGCCCGCAGTAGCCCTGTGATACGGTGAAGGGTGGGGCTTAAAAAAAGACGAAGCCCATGAAAGTCTCTGATTTGGGACTTCGGTGCTTTCTGTTTTCGCGGGTTCTCCCTCCCAACCAACCCCCAAAGTATTGCCCTGTGGTTCCCCCTTACCGAAGCACAACTAACCCTCAAAAAGCCGAGGGTGGTAGTGAATAAGGCAATGATGCATGCGCGAGAGAAGGACCCTGCTCAATAGCTATCTTCTCTCATGTTTTGGATTATCAGGTACGCATCTCAACGCTACTCACTTGTTTTCAGCATAGGACAATGAGAGGGCTTTGGTGTCCCCACAATGAAGTTCTTTGGGGGGGGTGCCAAAATCCTCCAATTACTAGCAGACATCAGAGAGGCCGACCAGCCTTGTTTTCCAAGTGCTTAAATTCTGTGGCCACAACATCCACGACAAGGTACCGGTGAATCCTTTGAATAGAGAGTTTAGGGTATACAGAGGCTTCCAAGGGCTCCAGGCTTACTAGGAAAAGGATGATGCAGGGCTCTACACAATCACCAATACCATTTTGATGCCTATTTGACGTACCCTGCACTGTAGTTCTGCAAGGAAGCTAAGACAATGATATTGATCATGATCTAGGCCCTCCATTAAAAAGTCTAGGGTGGAGTCCGGGCTTCAGTGTTGCACTCTCTGAACCCCCCAAAAGGTTTAGGGCTTCGGAAGGCTTTCCGTGCATTCTGGTCGTCCTTCTCGGGGCTTCTCCATACAATGGACATGCCGCGTGGGATAGCCATGACTTCTGCAGCCAGTCTAGGTTTAAGAGTTTGAGGTTCAGGGTTTAGGGATCCGTTTAGGGTTCGGGGTTTAGGCTGTAGGGTTTCGGGTTTTTGTTCAGGGTTTAGGGTTTGGGATTCGGTGTTGAGGGTTTAGGGCTTGGGCTTGATGATGGGCATGATGGGAAAGCCAATGAAAGGCATATCTTGGGGAGGTTGCAGTACTCTCCAAAAAAAAAAAGAGTAGTCCCTACAAGGCCCCTTGTGGTTTCGTACGTCAGGCAGAGGCAGGGTGGCCTGGGGCCGTGTGTAGTATACTTTCCAATCCAAAAACCCTGCATGACCACAGTATAGATACTAAATGTAGCAGGTACTTAGGCCTGTGCGGATATCAACCATGGGATCGATTTAGGGTTCAGGCTTTAGGCTCCCAACAGTCCACCCCAAACAGATGCATGCGCACGAGCCATGTCAAAAACAGCTTGGCTGTCTAGGGGTTTCGGGTAGCCGTATAAGATGTCCTGCGAGTCTGTCCTGTTCGTACTCTTGCTAAAATGGATTGCAGTTGGAGAAACTGATTTTGGGAACCCAAACAAGGGGAAGCACATCATGCTGCATCTGGTTGAAATCCACCCTAAATCACAAACAAACTAAACCCTCAACCACAATGCCTAAATACAAACCCTACCTCTACAGCACTCTGGATCTGAGCCTCCCGGGCATCGATGCAAGGATTGAGGGAATCCTGACTTAACTTAATTAACGCCTGCAGCGGGTGAATGTGAAGGAATGGAAACGAAATTAGAGAAATCAGGCTTGAAGTGCGCAAAATACAAACCCTACCTAAAGCGTGAATCCTGAATTATGGAAACACCCATGAGTCCATGGGTTATTCCCACAAAAACTTTTTGTACATCCCCAAACTGCTTTTTGGGTATGCTAAATTTGAGGGGCCGCATTACACTAGAGATCCGCTGAATGTAACCCACCCAACGGGAGAATAGCTCAGCGCGGTTCGTGGCTGTAAAGTAGTGGAGTTCATGACGAAAGGCGATCAGGGCCGTCCTGAACTACAAATCAAACAGTTTAGGGTTTAGGGAGTTTAGGGTCAAGAAGCTTATCAGACTGCGGTACCCAAAAGATATGTAGCCATCAACCATGGTTCAGTGGGTAAGGTGTACAGCTTGGAGTCTAGGGTTTGTTTGTTCTTTGGAAACTTGAGGTCTCCCTCTAAAAGTCAAAGCAAGTGAAAACGATAAGTTTAGGGATCTCATGGGATTAGGGTTCAGGGTTTGGGAAATGCGGCCCAATCTAGACCCCAACTGTGCACACACAGCAATCATCATATTCTAGGGACTTCCACAAAAGGAATCCCTAATTCTTGGAAGCCCGCACATGAACCCTGATGGCGGGGCGGAAGTGGGCCTACGGGAGCTACAGGCCAAACCCCCAGCATCCCCCTTAGGCTCCTGGTATCCCCCTGAATAACCCCCATAGTAGTCCTCTATATAATCCCCTATATAACCCCATTTAAGGAGTTTAGACACATGAACGCGCTTTAGGGTTGAGGGTATACTTCTTCCGTCTGGAAACTGAGATGGCATTTGTGTCTGAAATCGTGTAATAAGGTGCCTAATAATGAATCCCCTTGTGCCCCTTGTTGAAGAACCTGTTCTAGGATCAAGCACATATATATATATACATATATAGATAAATAGACAATAGGGGAAATACTCATTATGGAGGGTTGAGTTTGTTTTTTGGGGGACGTGATTACACAACCGACTACAGTCATGTCTAATCCCCATGCATCCGGGCTATACCAACGTTTAGAGACAACCCTGCGCATGTTTAGTGTTCCGAAGCAGAAATGGTACTTTCCCAAAATAAAGGGACCCCAATGTAGACCCCAAAATACTCGAATCTTCTGTATAGGGACCTCCAAGAAAGCTACCCCTAATTTTGGGAAGCCCTAAACCCCATATAACCCTATATAACCCTATAGAACCCTATATAACCCCATATGACCCTATATAACCCTATATATCCCCTTCAAAGGTACTCCTTAATTTTAGGAAACCCTCAAATAGCTCCTAGGAGGTCCGCTTACATGCGTGGCTTTGTCAAAGGCGGCCCAAGCTATAAAGGAATTCTCTAGGGTTTATAGGGTTTGGGGTAATATTAGGGTTATACTAGGGTTTATAAAGGAATTATTTAGGATTCATAGGGTTTGGGGTAATATTGGGGTTATATTAGGGTTATACTGTCCCCAAAAAGGGAGAATCAAACGGAGAATGAAATGGAAACAGGGGTTTAGGGTTTAGGGACCATTGGGGTAATGTTACGTTTATATTGGGGTTATATTGGGACAACGGAAGAAAATGGTTTAGGGTTACAAAACTTGTTTGCCAACAGCAGGGATTGCATACTTCTGGAGGGCCAGCGGGGTCTAGCTAATGTACTAACAAACCTCTAAACCACGTAGCAACCGCAGATGCCTGATACTAACCTCCACAAACGTGTGCTGCTCTTATGGTTGCCCTCACATGATTCGGTCATCATCAACTGGACCCGCGGAGGACGCTATAGCTTGACTTTTACTCTTAGTCCCCCCCACACGGACATCAAACAGGAAAAGGCGTCCAACAAAGACTGGGATTTGGGGCATTTTCGTACCATGGTTGGAAAGGATTGTTAGGGAATCCGACTGGAATTTGTTCCGGTCGCTGGGGAGGTAATTTGGAACTGTCTCGCCGTCGTGGCGGAATGCATGACCAGCATGACACCCAGAAACTTTCCCTCCGCTAACAGTACCCCTCAGCCCAAAAACAAGAAAACACTGGGGTTCTGTAAGATGGCAATCATAAGAGACCATAGGATATTGCCTGGTTCAAACTTGAAATTTTACTTATTTTCCCGACAGAACTTCAGCCAGAAGCCGCACTCACAGCACTGGATCAACAAACAGAGCCTATCAAGGCAAAAGCGGCTTGAAGAGGGCGGTTTCCACAGTCCTTTCATGCTCCTTCCATAAGATCACTGCACCATCAGGCATGGTGTAAAAGCAAAATAGCCACATTGGATAGGTGTTGAACAGATCAAACGCCAAAATGAAGCATGTGACCACAAGCCCAGACAGCTCTCTTACAAAAGCACAACTCGCGCAGAACCTTGAAGCGCAAATCCTGGTTACATCACTAAAAACCCCATGGCACTGTGGCTAGAGCACACATCCTTGGCCCCCAGCGGCGGGGGAAGAGATCCTCTTGCGCCTTGCATGCGATTGGTTTTGAAGGATTTGCCATGCTCAAGGGTCCCCTAATGGAGAGCCTCAGCTTACGAGCTCAGTAGCCCTCAATTTGCAAATGTTATTGTTGTATGCTAGTCTTACTGGAAGGTTGTATAAAATAAGGGAAGATATTATATAGGTATTGTCTAGGTGTTATACTCCCATATTCCCTAGTAACCACCAGTAAGCAGTTTGGAATTGAGAAACCCAGTAACAAAGAACGCTTGGAAAAGATGCGGTTGGGGGGTTGGGATGTGAACAATGTTCGGAGGGTAAAAACAAAATATCTACTGCTTTTCAAAAAGCAGCCATTTTTTTGGTGTGGGTGTTGGAAACTGTTCTTCACTGGAAATTCTCTGGTCACATCAGAGCCCTATTCAGACTACGTACTGCCTCCTAGGGATCAAACGATCTGTAAGCAATCTTGCCAAAAAAACGTGCAACCCGCTCTGCGCAGCATCTGTGAGGTACCCCCTTGCTTGAAAGATTTCTTCATGGGGAAGGCGGCTTAATCCAGACCCGCAACCCAAACCTTGAAACAAAAAACAACGCCTGAGCAGCTAGATTTCTATTTCGATGTTTTGGGCTGAAGGCTTAGGAGGCGGGCAGAAGCCCTGGACCTTGAGACTTGAACTCTGCAGCCGCAACCCTAGGCCCATAGTAACATTACCGTAGATACCCCATGTACAGTCGTTGGTTACCCCGTGAATTCCCAAGCGGACCTCGGAAGGCCCGAGACATGCTTTAACCCCTCAAAAAAAACCGCAAGCCTAAGTGCCCCCCGCAAGCTCCAGCCAGCATGGCAATTTGGCACTGCCCCCCACCCGGTAACAGTCCGTATCACCAGTACCATTATAGCTGCATAGATTCATGATATATCGGATAAATACATATGAACAATATCCAATTCTTCGTGAAGGGTGCAACACCCAAGGTAGCAATGCATGGAGGTGTACGTACCCCAACTTAGCTTATTCTGGAAGCCCCGTAAGATCGCGTCTGCATTGCGTTTGATATGCATGGGGTGTACATTTGGGGGTCAAGAGATTAACCACAATCTTCGGACTAGAAGCCTAGAGACAGCAATGTCGACCGCACGGAAATAGTACAGAAAAACACCCACCTGTAAACAAGCAAGCTGTAGATAGCCTCACAAGCGCTTCCAAGCAACTCTATGCCCTGACACCTAAACTTTACATCTGAAAACTTAAACCCCAAAGTTGAAATCCTAAACCATAAACCTGAAACCCAGAACCCCAAAACCTGAACCGTAAGCCCTTTCCGCCTGAGTCTCTCAAGCCAGCCAAAGCAGACCTGGACAAACTCTCCAGGGATACCGCAACTGGCCGTGACTTTGCTGTTTCCATAAGCACGGATGTGCTTTCAAAAATGGCTCTCAAGTTTGGATATTTCTGGATACGGGGCTGGGTAAATTCAGATACGGTTTTTCCGGGGATTCCAACCCAAAAGCCTAGCAAAGACATGTTGATTATTTGTAAAATCACACACTGCAGCAATCAAACCCAGGACTTTGAGCAGAATTCGTGGTCCAGAAAAAGAAACTTGGTTTTCTAGGAAAAATAAGTTTTGCTTGTCCAAAGTCATCTTTTTCTTTTGTTATGTTTCTGGATCAGAAATCAAGCAGAAGCCACCTTCTCGATTTCCAAGGGATGGTTTTCATATCCTCAGAAAAAGTTGGCTGGTCTTTTGGAAAACCAACTCTTTTAACAAATGACTTTTCATGAGTTTCACTTCAGAAAGCAAAGCCCAAATCATCTTTTTCCTCACAAAAGTGGTTTTGACCAAGCAAGCCAGCTTTTTGTCGGAAAAGCCGCTACAAAAAACTACTCCATCCTGGACCAGTCCTCAAAATGTCGCTGTTTTGGCTTTTGGCGTTGGGTCTATTTACTGGAAAACCCCTGGCAAGCACGTGTTGGGTCTATTTATTGAGAAAACCTAGCCAGCACATGTTGACATAAAACTGCATAACCAGTAGACCCACCATCACCATCAAACCCTCAGACTTCGCGGGTACCGTCGTAGTAGTAGTAGTAGTAGTAGTAGTAGGCGCCCCCCCCTACCAACTATATTTGCCAGATTGCGCATGTTGAAAGCGTAGGGCCTTGCGTGGTATTCATGGCCTGGAATCACTGGCGCATTATGACTGGCTTCTGTGCTGGCTGCCCTACCCAGAACTCCTATGTCCATGTCCAGACTCAGGGACGGGATGCAAACTGCTTGACACGCTGCATGGGTATTTTTCTTTGAAGGCGACGTCCCAGAGCCCATCGAGCTGGTAGCAAGCACGTCTCACCAAGAAGATGTCTAGGACAGTTGTCGGGAAAGAGTCGGTGTTGATCACTGACCAACCAACCATTTACATGTTCGGAGCTTGACTTCCATTGCAAGCCACAGCACAAACACCAACAACCACGACATGAGCGCTCCAAGTCTGTCGCGACCAATTTGCACTAAGAAGCAAAACCTGAGCCACTTGAGCCTACGAGTTAGACACGCACGCCCAACTCCCAGGAAAAAAGATTGTTTTGCGGGTGAACCCTTCGATGCAGAGGCACAAGCCCTATGACACCCCAGACAAGATGTTCTTGCGAAACAAATACGCCCGGAAAAAAACCTGAGTATATTCCTGAGGTTCCATGAATTCGGTTGCTCTGTAACCCTCCGCGAAAAGTTCAACATTGAGCTCACGTGATGCAAAAAAGAAGAATTCCAAGAGTTAGAAAGCGCTGATTCAAGCTGTAATACACTTCTGCATGTATAGTGAATTAACACCTTCTCTGCATCATTCTTATGTGGATTCGAGAAATGCCAAAGGCCTCTTTGCCCGGGTCAGGTTTGGCCCCCGACTCTAATAATGAGCACCAACGATACGGGTTTAGGGTTTACCCATATTTACCCTAAACTCTGAACCAAAAAAAATCCAACTAGAAGCCTAAACGTAAAACCCACGGTCGACTCAAGTTCGAAAGTCCACATGCTGAACTGTGACTTTCAGACACTGTATGCATATATGGCTGCGCCCCGGCGCCCCCCCCCCCACTCATCCCCCACCAACCCACACCCCCACCAATGCACACAAGGAGTTGACTGCATTTCTTTCTGTTTCCCCCCTCTCCCGGTGGTCCTGGGGGGTATGAGCACTTGTGGTTCTCTAGCATTCTGTTTCGATGACAATCAAAGATGTTTTGGTTTGCTGGTTGATGGTTTGCAGGTGGTCATTCTGTTTCCCACCTCCCCCCCTCGGTGGTCCAGTGGGGTGCGGGCACTTGTGGTTCTCTAGCATTTTGTTTCGATGATAATCAAAGATGTTTTGGTTTGCTCGTTGATGGCTTGCAGGTGGTCACCCCCACAATGCACACGACAAGTTTGACTGCATCTTCTTTCTGTTTCCCCCCTCCCCCCCCCTGTGGTCCAGTGGGGTGCTGGCACTTGTGGTTCTCTAGCATTCTGTTTTGGCTTGCTGGTTGATGCGTTGCCCCTCCTGTGGGTTTGGTTTCGTCAATCGATCAGTGGCTGCAAGCATGAACGGGCATCTCGTTTCCCCGTCCCCCCCCCCCTGTGGTCCTGTGGGGTGTTGGCCCCTGTGGTGCTCTGGGGTTCTGTTCAGTGACAATGAAATCTGGTTTTGGCTTGCTGGTATATGAAATTCGCGCTCCTGTGAGTTTGTCTTGCAGGCAGTTAGTCGATCACTGCATGATGACCGCATGTTTTTTCTAGTTTCCTCGCTCTCCCCCTGTGGTCCCGTGGAGTGTCGGCGCCTGTGGTCCGCAGGGGTGCTGTTTCGTGACTTGATGACACTCAAGCTTGTTTGGGCTTGTTGCTTTACAACGTTCCCCTCTTCTGGGTTTGTTTTGCAGGTGGTTAATCGATCAGTGGATCCAAGTTTTTTGGCGGTACGTCTTGAAAGACGATGACAGTTAAGAGGATTGTGACCTGGATGCCCACCATCCCTGCGACTGTACGCACTTAAAAGATTTTGACATCTGCGACATCAAAAACGATGACAGTTACGACAATGGCGCCTCCAAGGCTTCAAAACCGAGGACAGTTGCGATGATCGTGCGCTTGACACCCACCAGCCCTGTGACTGTTGGCTTTTGACCTCTCCGACATCAAAAACGACGACAGTTACGAAGATCGCGATCTGGACACCCACCATCCCTGTGACTGCTCACACTTTTGAGAGGGCTGGGCTTGGGGTCAGGGGACCATACCATGGAGGGGGGGGAGGGGGGAGGGTCAGAACGCACAGCGCACAACCACATATGGGGAATAGGGTCCTCATCAGGCATGAGATGGGGTCTTGGGTGGGCAATTGTGCTACAGGAGTATCTACAATGATCCTATACGTTTTTCGACGCGGTGCCCCACATCAATCCCTCTCTTTCATCCCTGAACACAGCTGTAGGACGCCTGTGCATGGGCAGGCATGTTTGAAGCAACCTCCATACCTCAGGCTACGACCATGCATCCTTCAGGCGCTCCAGCGCATGGTGGGCAAGCGCAATGATCCGGAACAACCTGTCCAAACTTCCCTAAACCCTGAACCCTAAAATTAGCCTAAACCCTAACCCTGAACCCTAAACCCTGAACCCTAAACCCCTGGACCCTAAACCGTATAGGGTTTCGGAACTGGGGTGTAGGGCTCAGTCTCAGACCAGGCAGATTTTCTGCACCAAGATTATCTCCGTAGGTTCTACTTCAATGGGATCCCAAAGAAGCGCACGAGGTCTGCAAAAGTTCAGGCGCCCTCCTGCTTTTCTTTGTACAGAACTTGTTGTATTACGATATTCTGGCAACATAATATAAGAATCCCATTGCTTGCATGTCTCACAAGAAGCTCATGCCTAGTACATATAAATGGTCTCTTGGGTTGTGAGCTCCATTGTGGTGGCGCATCCAGAAATTGAGATGGGAAGGATCCTTCCATGTGCATGTGCACAGGTCTTCGGCCATGGCTTTGTATAGGAATGAACTGTTTGCCTTGGGACGAACACTTGGGCGGTTGAGGTTTCCGGACTCTAGTTTGCAAAAAGGGTTTACGATTCAGGCTTGAGGATTGGGCTTTAGGCTCTTTCTCCTCTTGAGCTGGAATGTTCATTTAGAAAGTCTAGAGGTGTGGGTGAGCTAGAAGCACTTAAAACTTGGACACGTGCTATGCTTTCGCCAGTGCGGTCCAGTTCCGCGCATCCTCAACAGCCCGGGCTACAGTTTAACAGGGATGCAAGTAAGGGCCCGACTTTGGGGTTTAGGATTGAAGGCGTACCTACCCTAAACCCCAAACCATATCGTGATTTCGGCTTCGGGGTCTGGAGTTCAGCGTGCACAAGCACATGAGGAATCCTGAGTTTAGGAGGGCTTAAGTTAGGCGCGGGCCTCTTCCCATCGTTTTTGGGAAAAGAGCAACAACAGGCTTGGCATGATGCGTTAACAATGGGTAGAGGGTTGATGGTTTACATTCAAAGGGGAATGCACAGAGAAACATACAAAAATACCCCAGGCCTACCTACTGCCTAGCCTCCTGCTGGCCAGTGAACTTAGTCGCCTTTGTAGATTAGCTTTTTGATCCCTCAATATGATATAGAGGAACTCCCAAAAATGCAAAAGCTGCAGTAAAGTCCTACATTGCAGGGACCATATGAAAAATAATGTGTTGTTTAGACTTCCGGGCTTAGGGCCGAGGGCTTAATGCGGTCTGTAGACAGCGACATGAATTCACGTAGTAGTCCCTATAAGCCCCGAGACCTGTGCTCTCTACCTACCATCCTAAACCCTAAACCTCAAAAAAACACAGTAGTTGAATTCATCCTTCCAATCCCCCCATATACCCTAACCCTAAACCCTCAACCCTAAACCCTTACATCAAGATCCCTAAACCCTAAACCCTAAACCCTAACATCAAGATCCACCATCCTATGGACTCCCATAGCACCAGGGCTTAAGAACCAGTCGGCTGTGCTATTTACCAACGCCCTACGCCTGGCCCATGTTTTAGGTTTGGGGCAAGAAAACAGAAACTACTATATTATAAAATAATATGGGGATTATATGGGGGTTGCATAGGGAGAATGGAAGAAAAATGGAAACTACTAGTGTAGGGCTTAGGGTGCAGGGTTCCAGAACTTGTTGATTTAGGGTTGAGAGATTCCCAGACAGGGTATTAGGGTTTGGGGTTTAGGGTCTAGGGTCTGGGTTTAGGGAACCTGCAGAAAGCTTCTACTTGTGGGACGCCTTGTATACTGCAGCAGGGCACGGTCCGTGAAGACTTCGCTCATGGGGAAGTCGAGTTTCAGTCTGAACCTGGTCATCACCAAGGCGTCAAGACTTCACTCTCCCCAAACTCTATACTTATATGAGGGCTATTAGGAAAGAATACTGGACAATATTCCGTCTACATTTGCATGGAGCGCCGAAAAAGGGCATCTCTAGACGAGTCAACTCAAGCTTTCAAAGCTGGAAGGTAGGCGTGCAACTCGACGTCGCTATGATCCTGCCAAGAAAAAGTGCTGACATTCATAATCCTGAAAATCAACCACTATCTTGTCGCACGCAGAAGAAAACAAACACCATCAGTTGAAAGAACATCCTGAAGAACACAATGAGGATAATTCATACTAATAATAGTAGTGACAATAGTGGTAATGGTAATAATAAATACCAAAATATAAACAGTACTAATAATAACAAGAAGCGCTGTTACTGGTTTCCGGGTTTAACCATCCTGCCTCAATCTTGGCTCGCAAGTAATTCAGACCGAAGGTCCGATCCAGGTGGGTTTAGGGTTTAGGGTTAACCTCATGTCAGGCTCATGTAAAAATATATATATATATACATATATGGGAGTAATGGGGATGTGTGAGCTATAATAGTCTAAACTTCTGGTATCTCCCTTAATAAACCTTAGACTAATCCCATTTATAATCCCTAAATAAACCTCTTTAAGGAGTTTGGCTTATGGCTTATATGAGGTTTAAACAGGCCTCCTTTAAGCGTGCCCACCTGGGGGGTGCTCCTGAATCCCTGCCCTCCCCTTACGATTGCTAACATGATGCAGGTCATACACTGGAAACTCAGGAAGGCCACAATTCTGGCGTTGACACCTCGCCCCTCAAATCTGCAAGCAGAACGAGACTCTGACCAAACAATGTGGATACAGTCTCTCGCAACAAGTTGTTTGAGAACTACGGTAATATGCTTCTGAATCGCTCCCGACATGAAAAATGCCGACCGAAATCTTCAAGCCTCTACCTTTGACCTGGATCCACTTGCCCATTCTTCAGAGCACCGAGCCCCAAAATACGGCCCACCCAACAAATGGAAACCCTAGGTCCCTTTAAAGGGGTATTACCCCAATAATGGAGAATCAAGTGGAAAGGAAATTGGAAAATCAAATGGAAACTGGGTTTAGGGTTTGAAGCCTGACTACTCCTCAGGACACCAGACAACGCCCGCTTTTGATTCTGATGATCGTATTGAAACTCGTAGGATGCGAAGCAATCCTCCTGTGGTTCCCTGCGTGATCCCTTCAACTTCCAGGCAGTCACCAAAGATTGAAATGATATGCATTGTAGTGCAATCACTGTATTCATGGTATCAAAATAAATGCAAATGGATGAATAGTAGCCACAATAATAGCAACAGCAACACAAGACACGTAGTTTTGAAATACAGCCCCAGAAATCCTAAACCGCATTCTACTACCCTGCACCCGGGTCGGACTGCTCAAAACTCCTAAATGAGCTGAAGTCAACATGTCTTGCGCCCAGCTAGTAATTAATCTGTATGTAGTCCCTCGCAGGTGGCACTGGATCCGCTTTGAATAGCCCCATAATCTAACCCCTTCAAAAGGCCTGAGAGTGCATGTCAGGGGACTTGAAAAAAGTATCATAGGTTCCCAAAGGGATAGCTGGAGGTAGCACATGCACCATAAGGGATCTAGATATACTCAACAACCTACCAACCCTACACCCCAGCTTGGGGGGCTCTACTACACCCTTCCAGGCTTGAGAAGGTTAGCCCCAGAAACCCTGTACACAAACCTCAGGCTAAATATGTGTAGGGTTTAGGGTTTAGGGTACCCCCTCTTAGGATAAGAAAAAAAGGCCAAGCCTAAGGCCATCCAGGAAGGACACCGGTCCATGCCCTGCCACGGGTGGTTGTCAAAAATTATGGTACCTTTTTGGGATCTCTATTATAATACGGCACCTAATACTCAGGGTACCCAAAAAGGGACCATAATTTGGACAGCCACCACCATACATGTGTTATAAACAGAAAAAAGTAAAGCATTACATTATTATCGTTATATAAGGATACGTATGGAGTTTATGGTGATGATATAAGGATACAAGGGGTTCAGGGATGATGTCCCCATCTTGGAGAATCAATTGCAAAAATGGAAAATGACCTTCGGACTGGGATTACGGGGGGGTTGAGGAGCTGCGCGGCTAAAACTGCAGAAGTTTGGGGATTTGGGTTTGGGGTTTGGAGTTTAGGAAATTTAGGGGTAGGATGACCGCAGGGCTACCTGGCTTCGGGTGTAGGATTAGGAGCCCAGAGTTTCGGAGACAGGGGAACAGGCCTTTGGGAAAGGGCTCATGGTGCAGGATTAGCAAGGGTTTGGAATGTGATCCAGTGCTTGCGGATTGAGGAAATTAATGCCTTGGTTAGGAGTTAATTAGGGTTTAGGGTTTAGGGTTTGGGATCGTAGACTTACGGCCTGAAAGCTTTAGAGCTGGGCATATGCATAGGTTCTCTCCTAACCACCGCGTATACACCCCAAGGGTTCCCCTTGAATTAACCCAAATTAAGGGTGAATCAAGGGGAGTTGCAAACACGCTGGTTAGGTTCCCCACAGTATCCTTCTCATTGAAAAGTGTGTTGAGCAAGTCTTCCAAAGTGTTGAATATTGGTCGTTGTCAAAATCATGGTCCCTTTTTGGGGTACCCTAATATGCCCAAAAACGGAACATTATTTTGACAACCACCCATATGAATTGGGCACCTCATGTATCTGCGAAACACCTCAACATCAGCGAGCTAACAGTAGCGCCTATGAATTTTGGAAAGTACCTCAAACTCTGAACCCTAAACCCACTGGCCAGAATCCAAAAAACCTGATCTTGAAACCCAAATCTCTGAAACCCCCCAAACTCGAATCACAAAACCACCCTTGAATCCTGATTCCCTAAACCCTAAACCTTCGGCTAGTGCTCCCCTATAGTAACAGCTCCCTAATATGGAGTTCGTAGGGCCTGAATACACCTACAATAATCTCTTGTGGTACCCATTACCGGGTGGGTGCTTGACCCAACCTAAGCCCCAACCCGAAACCCCAACTCCTTACTAACCCATAGACTTCAATACGCTTGATGTAAAACCCAGAAAACATGTTATAGCGGGGAGTGGTGTAGGGAACCCACAATGGCCCTACACCTTGACCTCACAACTCCATCTCAAGCCCAAGGCTCACATCCCTACATCCAGGTTTAGGGTGTATAGGTTTGGACTTTACCATGTATGGGTTTTGGGTTTAAGGTTTAGGGTTTATGGGGTTGGGGTTGAGGATTTGGGATCAGATCCCTAATCCTGAACCCTTTCCCTGGAAAGCAATAGCAACAGCAAAACACAAGACGCGTTGTCTGAAACATTCAGCATAAGAGGCCGGAGGATGTCACCTGACACAACTTTGATGTTTCTTGAAGCCTAAACCCCCAACCCTAAAAACCAACGTTTTCGATCTTCTTTTCCATGTGATTCTCCACTATCCTAAACCCTACACCCTTATGTGGCCCCTACACCGCTTTTTCTGGGTGATCCCCTATCTATCTAGCCCCCCAAAACCCAATGTCCGCGCATAATCCATATATACCTTTTGAACCCCCTAAATCCTGAAATTGGCTACGACTTGGGCTTTTTCCCTACCTAGCCCCTTGTTTAAGGTTTAGGGTTCAGGGCCCAAAAATTTAGGATTTCAAACCGCAAACCAAAACCCAAGATGACCCTATATACATCCTAAACTTAAACCCTTAGCCTAGTCTCTCCCCTGGCCTAGCATGGAGGGATCCGGACCCTGAACCATGATTCGGCTCAGCAAGGCGTCATCCTTCATAGCTGAAGCCAGGGGAGGGGGAGTCTGGGGTTTAAGGATTAAGGTCTAGGATTTAGGGTGTAGGGTTGGGTTGAGGGCTTAAGGCTTTGTACATATTCTTTGGCCCAAATACTTAAAGTAAGCTCTGGGGTAACAACATACTACGCTCCCGTTTGAGTAAGGCAAAAACCGGGGAACATGCTGCTAGTGATCAACGCTTCTACCGTGCCAAGAGCACCTACTTTAGGAATAGTCCTTACAGCCTGAACCCTAAGAAGCGTTTGAAGTTCGTACTATACCGGGTAAGAAGAACATTCAAATATTTGGGGGGGGACCTCTCTCTGCAGCTCTGCACACTTAGTTCGGCTTTACTGGATAATGGTTGCACGTCTTTCGTCATTTTGATCATGCTGAACCCCCCAAAAAAAAAGCAGCAACCTTGTGTTTTTCCGCAGAAGCTGGGCTTATTGAAAAAGGACATAGTCAGGCAGAATCGCATCTAGTCTGAAAAGACATAGTAAGCCGAAACCCCACCTAAACCCTGGCTACAATGACCAGCGAAAGCCCGATGTGGCTAAGTTATAATTGGGTTATGGGTATGCCTACACTTAGATTTGCAAGAGAATGACCCTCAACCTTCCAGTAAACCCCGAACCCTAGACAGCAAAGCATTGAATCCAAAAGCCTACTCGAAATACCGGTCCTCCGGAGAGGCGGGGCGAGGCACTGTTGACTGAAACAAGGCATTGAGCGCCTGGGAAAACATCGGGTTTTGAGTGTAGGGGCTTATTCCCCTCCAAAGCCCAGAAGGGGGCCCCACACAAGCGGCTGTCCTTTAAAAGATCCCTATCCTCGCTCACTTCTCAAATCTGCCACACCAACACCATCTCCCCCTGAATCCCAAAACCCAAAACCATGAACCCTGCGCGGACGCTTCGGCAATTGTCATGTTCATCGTGGTTGCTCTTCTTGGTACTTCTTGGTCTGTTAGTCTCTGTTCTCCAAGAAGCGGGCTGTCAAAATTATGATCCCTTTGTGGTTGTTCTGCGTATTAGTGGCCCAATTGCACGAGCGATCCCAAAAAAACACATTTTTTGACAACCTAGTGTAACATTCGTGCTCTTAACTTGCTCCTTTATTGCTGCAGTGTTTGTGCATCAAGCTCTCATGATCCTTTAGTTGGCACCTTCCAGCCTCTGAAATTCCCTTTGTGACAGGCGTGCGTGCTTTGCAGCCCATGACAGAGAGCACAGGGTTTAGGATTTAGGGGTGTTGGGCACCCTTCTCGACTAAGGCTTTCCCAGTACCCCAAACCCTAAACCCCCCATATATGAGCTATAGTCTACAACTCCTCGTACCCCCCTTAATAACCTCAATACGACTCCCCGATATAAACCCCTTTATAACCCTGTTTAAGGAGCGTAGACTATAGCTCATATGAGCTCTACATACTGTAACCCCAATCGCCCGCCCCAACTTCCCCTTTAAAATGTTAGTTTGGGGGAGCTAGACCCTGCTACCCAGCATGCCTTTCTTATACTTGCTGTTGTATGAGGAATACCAATCATCATCATCATCATCATCATCAGTAATACCATAGAAAAGGTCAATAAGAAACAACAATATAACTAATGATAGTTAGAAAAAGAGTACTAGTAAGAAGGCCAAACAAAGGGATGGCAGCACACAGGAGGGAACAGACCGGGATCAGAGGCGTTTTTTGGTTGCTGGTGATTCAGGCAGGCCCCGATGCGCGGCGGGTCGGACCTACCCGGTAGGTACTCTGCTGAGCACCTCTGTATGCACGTCTGGGCGCGGGCTTACACGAAAGCCTAAACCCTTTGTGAAGCAGGAGCTGCGCGAGCTCCTCGTCCCTCAGTGAAGTTACCCCTGAGACATAACGTCTCCTACCCATGATGCACCCAGGGAGACCTCAACGTCCCGAAGCCGCAGAGCCCTCCCTTCCCTTTAAAACTGGCACAGGTGTCACTGCGGAATTGGTTGTGAAATGGACTGGCTCGGGAAAGAGGTCCATGGTTGGCGCTATCCGTCTTCCAGCACCACTGGAAGGATCCGAGCGCCCGGCCCCTTCTACCACAGAAGCCTCATATGCATGCTTCTGCTTGGTGGGGAATGACGGAATGATTTCACAAAAAAAGTTATGATTCTCAAAACCGAATATCCCTCTAACGCCTGGAACGAACTCCTGGACTTGAGTAGATAATGGAACCTTAACACAGCTCTTCGAATCACAGAGACTCCCCTATACACGCTGGTGAACATTCATTAACGTGGTGGGGCTTAGGAGGACCCCCCACCCTGCAATAGCGGTATAATAGAACTAGAAGAGGACCCTAATATAGTCCCTACTATCCTTTATTGTACCTTATAATCACCTATTGCAGTACTATTACAGGGTGGGGACCCCACCTAAGGTGGGGCTTCGCTTATGATACTAATTTAAAGTTCAATTTATGATACTAATTTAAAGTTCAAAACTCTGGATAATAATGTTACAGCTTATTTTTCATTATTACAATATTACCCGAATATGACCCCAACATACCAACCCTAAACCCTAAACCCTGAACCCTAAACCCTGAACCCGAAACCCCAAGCCCATATGAGCCACTGTCTAAACTCCCAGTATCTCCCTTCATAACCCCTATAATACTCCCCTATAGAATTCCCTATATAACCCTCTTTAAGGAGTTTAGACTATGGTTCATATAACCCTTATAGAAGATTTTATATATGTATATATATAGCAGTTTCCATTTTATTTTCCATTTTCTTTTCCATTTGATTCTCCATTATTAGGGTAATGCCCCTTTAAGGAGTTTAGGCTATAAACTATAAGCCCTAAACCCCAAATAGTAGTTTCCACTTTCTTTTCCATTATCCCTATAGAAACCCCTATATAAGCCCTTTTATAACCCCCCTTAAGGAGTTTAGATCATGGCTCGTATGACAGAAGAGGCGGCTCCCAAAACTCCGCCGCTGGCCAGGCTCGGACAGAAAAACCCTCACCTCCCTCAGGGTTTAGGGCTTAGGGTTTAGGGTTTAGGGTTTAGGGGGTTCAGAGGTTGAGGGGTTCAGAGGTTTAGGGGTGTAGGGGTTAGGTTTAGGGGTTTAGGCTTTAGAGGTTTTGGGTTTAGGGGTTTAGGGGTTTCAGGATCTAGGGTCAATAGTTAGCATTCCTTAGGTGGACCCGCCCTTGTAATGGCGACTGTATATCTTGACTTCCAATAACCCCCAGAACTCGAAGTGGAGAATGAAACTGAGGACTCAGGTGGACCCACACCCCTGTAATAGTGCCTATAGAGGATAACAAGGATTATACCTCCTCTTATATTCCTATTATACCACTACTACATCGTGGGCGTTCCTCCTAAAGCATTCCCCATATTAGGACAAACTAGCGCCACACTGGCAGTGTTTGTTATTGGGGAGGTTGGGGGGATGATTCTTAAGGGAAGGGGTGTTAGTAATCAGCTGTGTACGAACCAAGTGCGAGTATACCGTATACTGTAGGAGCCCAGAGGATTTCCCATAAAGTTTGGAGACACCATACACCAGAATATATGAGGACGATGGTGGGACAATACTTCAAGGCTCTCAGGCTCTCAAGCTTCTGCATTACGGACTTTGATTTTGGTCGTCTGCTTCACTATGTGCAGGAACACCGGCGATTAATTGGATTCATTCAAAAGCACTCAATGCAATACAGGCTGCCCAGGGAGGACCTCCAAAATATGGACCCAACTCCACGAGCAGCAATTCTCTACGGCGACCGCTAGCCGCAAAGACCCTATAGATCCGAACAGGTAGTCTTTAAAGATTGGAGCAGATTGATCCGCGTAAGAAAATAAAATGCGCGGTGGCCAACATCATGGGACTATTATCTTGAAAGAATACCCGGATCGCAAAGAACCCTACTAAAGGTCTTTCATATACCCTAAACCACGGAAGGTAGTATACCTTTGATGTTTTGAAGTAAGCTCCAGAATGTCCGGTAAATGGCTCATCCAAGGCGAAACTATGTATGACCTCCGCATCATAATGAAACCGGCCATTCCCCTGACACTGCAGTTCAGGGTTCAGGGTTTAGGGTCTGGGTCCATGGTTTAGGGTTTAGGGTTCAGGGTTTGAGGTCTTCCCTCGTAGACCGGTACTACTGTTGATACTAACAACGCTGCATGACCCAAGAAACCTGGGGAAATTTTGTAGCAGAATACACTACTAGAGTCATGCAGGATTTTGAGCATCAACCGTAGTGGCGGGGTTTACTATTAGCCGGAGATCCCCGAACCCTAAACCCTCTAAACCCCTAGGGGTAGGTGATGATCCCAAAGCCGCCGCCTCGTCAAAGCTCGGACGGCCCGCGTAGACTGAAATGGCCTCAGAAGCAATCAGGTAAAGGAATTCAGGCTTTACACTCAGGGTTCAGGAAAGCTGGGTTTGCATATGGTCATATAAGCACTTAAGAAACCTTAAATTTTCAGAATATGGACATATGGTACATGACAGGGCTTAACAATAACCCTAAATTTGTGAAAAAGGACAAGTGCCCTAGCAACAACCAGTCAGGCGTCCGAACGAACATGGTATGTTGCTTAGGGAGAATCTACAGCCAGCGACCCCGACCTCAGGCCTCAAAAAGGGAGCCCCATGGCAGACCCTACTGTATGATCATCCTTTTTGTGGGACTCTCAAAAAAGGACCCCATACTTCCTGGAATCCCCCATGTAGCCAAACTGCAGAGAGCTAGGTTTTCGCGCAAGGCCTGCCACTAGCCAGCAGTTTAGGGTTTACATTCTGCTGAACTGAGAGGCCTGTAATACCCAAAAACAGATGCGAGAGCAGGAACGTCCGCTTTGGGGAAGGCATCTAGATTTCAATCTGCTTTCATTGGCGTCTCCGTCCTACGCCCAGGAACTGGCCTAAACCCTGAACCCTGCTGCCCAAAGAACCCCAAAAACACGTCGCAGCTTTTCAGGGCAAGGGAAGGGTAA